TCTCATTGCTTCTTTGTTACTGTGAAACATGATGCAGATTAGTAAAGGCATTTGGTTCTACACCTTTCCCATTTCTCCACTGATAGATATGTTTGGATAGATCTCTTATTATGCTAATTTCCTTGTGTTATCTTTGCTTGCCTGGGACCATGGAACAAGAGAATTCACAAATTTTGGAAAATAATAAAATGTTTCTCAGCAAGGCAATCACAGGAACACATTCAGCTGTGAAATTCATCATGAATTATACAAATACTTCCGTGTTTGTCCAGCATCAGGATCACTGAAAGGAGGGAGAATGGAAGATGTCTATTTAATGATAATATATACTTTTTTGCTATTTGGGTAATACTACCTTATCCTTATATTTGAAGAGTATAAGAGAAAATTCAAGATATTAACGAAAGGAAGGACTAGAGAAACATTATACAGATAGAGCAGACTGATAGGGAGAAACTAGAAGAAAGGAGGATGTTACACTTGCGTTGGGGTGGATGAATTAGATTGCCTTGTCTATGAAAATGTAAAACCAGTTGTAGATCCAGGAAATTCATAGAGGTAACATAGGGGTTTCAAAAATGATTCAAAGGCAGCTAGTCAGTATCAGTAGTAATGGTGACAGTAATGAGGAATTTGGGGGTGTTCTGGAAACATTCTTGGGAGAGTCAAATTTTAGATCACAGAAAATGATTCAATTGAAAAGATCTTATAGACAATCAGAACAAGGGAGTAAAAATGAATGGGGAAGGTGGATGAAGATTTCCTATGTCCAGGTGAAACTGAAGCTATAAAAAATGAATTTCAGTCTGTTGGAGTGAATGTGAAGAGACTAAGTCAACCTCATCTCTTAAACATTTTGAGGAGCTTGAGGGAGGAATTGTCTGTTTGGCAGGGAGCATTCCTTAAAAGACTTTGGGCAGGCCACTTTTGGGTTACTTATAGTGCCATCTGCTGTCCACAAAGAACTCCATGCTGTGGTAACTTGTTTTGATTACTGTACTTTATTGATATGTAGTGAGTGAAATAAAATAACAGAGTGCATTCATTCACCAGCAACTGGGATGAAAGTGTATTGTTATTATAAAAGGCTTGAAGGTACTCAGAAGTCCCTGGCTACTTACATAGTTAATTCAAGCAACATGACTCTCATTTTGCTAACCCATCACTCTCTCTGACAAAAAATCATTGGAATAAAAGTCTATCTTTCCAGGCAATGAAAATGAACAGGGCAGTTTTTGTAATAGCTCCAGTAATAGCAGTGGACTACAGGATTTAAGCAGTCCTTCTACAGTGAACAACAAGGAACTAAATTAGTGAAACTGATGTGGCTTATATATTTATATGTTTGTATGTATATCAACTCCATTTCCATCTGTAGAAAGAGGAACACTCTTTACAAATTATTTCTTGAATTATTGATGCAAATTTCCTAAATTATGACCTTTTGCTATTAACATAAATATAACCATTGTACAAGAATGCATTCCAGAAAGTCATGCCCTTTTGAACAGAATGTGTAGGTGGGCTGATTTGTATTTTAAATAAATAACTTGTGGGGAAATAAAATTTCCTTGGATTTCTCTGTTGCTCCTGTAAAAATCTCCAGCCTCCTGTGACAAGGACATGTATACAATATAATGATAAGGGATGTTTGCTTTTATTTCCCCTAGGTACATTTTACTATTTACATACAATGAAAATTAGATCTGTCATCACTTGTCTAGTTAATTGCTCTGACCCAAGAGGGATAAATGGTTACAACTCAAACTAAGTCCATAGGTTAAGACCCAAGGTGTCACAAAGCCTGGAGGCATTTTCCAGACCTTGGAGACATCTTCAGAGTTTAGCAGCTGGAGACACCTGGGGTTTATCTAACTCTTAGAAAGACATATTTACATTCTGAAAAGTTAGGTTGAGAATCTAGGATTATTTCCATTCCATTGCAAAGAAGGAAGTACCCCCTCACACACACTTTCCACTGGAAAGGAAAATGGCATCTTTCTTTTGTATATAAAGGGAGAAAATCCATTGTTCTCTATCATTCATTCATGAAATGCCCATTACTTGAGTAGGAAATTTGGCACTGCTCTCATCCTGTTACCTCAGGGGTAAGGTTAGGGGTAATGTTAAGGTGAAATGTACTTACTGTTTACTGTAAGGTAATTAATAAGAAATCTATCTTTGATCCAGAATACCTCATGTGAACACTAAAAAAGGTGAATATTAAAGCCAAACAGATTGTATGGCCAAATTGACTTTAGTGAAAGGAAAACTACTACAGTGACAGTCTTTTGAAACTTTTCAGATTTAATATGAGGCACTGTCTTAGGTATTATAGCATCCTATATAATTGTAGCGGTTTGTGCATAGCTGGTATCATGGCAGAAGTTGGTGGAGCTTAATATGTATCACAGAAAGACGGGCTTCATAGGGGCTATGAGGAAACTTTTATCTTTTTATCCACAAACCTTCTGTTAAAGTGAGAAATTTAAAAATGTTTAAAAAAACCTGCTCAATGTTTCCATAGCATTATAGCAGCATTCATAGAAAATGTAAAAATCCCTGCTCCAAAAATATTCATTTTTCATAATAAAGTACAATAATATTAATTTTTATTATATGTTATTGAATAAATTTAAATGGAATTAAGTGGCAGAGTATGGTGGCTCATGCCTATAATCTTAGCACTTTGGGAGGCCAAGGTGGGAGCATTGTTTGAGGCCAGGAATTTGAGACCAGCCTGGACAATAGCGAGACCCGGTCTCTACAAAAATATATATATATACATTAAAAAAATCAACTGTTGTTCAGACTGGACAACTAATACATAAATTCCAGAGCCCATTCCCCCCATACACAGAAAGAGTATTGTGGCTTGTTATTTACCTTAAGTCTTTTAGTTTACTTCATATGCACACACTCAAGCTCAGTGCCTCACAGCTTTGTAATGTACTTTGGTTTGTATAATACAGTATATCACTTAACTAGTTTATAGTTGTTTAGAATTTATAGATTGTAAACACTTTATAGTTTATAAATTGTTTTGTAATTGACTAGCACATTCAATCCTTGCAACACATATGTGAGGTAAGTATTTATTCCCATTTCCAAGATGAAGAAACTGAGGATAAAAGAGGTGATAAGGCTTACCAAACTCACCAAGTTTGAGAGCTTGGCTTGAATCCAAGGTTTCAGACTCCAAATCTGTATTTGTTTCAATCACCAGATATCTTATAACTTTCTCAGAAAATTCAATAAAAATTTCTAAATTATTGTGGTAGCTTATGGAAATATTTTCTGAAATATTTAATATATGTAGTATATGGGTAAGGGGAAACTTGTCCTTTTCCCCCAAGATCAACTCACAATTAAGGCATATTAATAAGAAAAATAAAAGAAATGTTTATTTACTAATACCATATGCATGGGGAGAATCACATAGTAATTACCCAATATCACAATGAAGTTCAGATATTTCTATACATGCCTTTTAGAGGGGAGGGGGAAAATGAAGCATATAGGTAATTCTGTTTAGGAGCCATAAACAGTTGCTAGGGAGGATGAATGGATGGGGAAAACTGATTGACTTGTAAATTAACCTGAGAGACAGGTGTTACGTTTTAAATGACTTGGGCCTGATCTGGTTGCACTCTTGATCTTGTTTCCTGCAATATATTGAGATAACTGGGAGAGGAAGGGAAGTCCATTCTCCTCTCTGATCTTGTGATGCGGTCAGTCCAGTTTATGTGGCCAGAGAGAAAGCCCCTTCCAAGAGTCTGTTAATCTCTACAAGCCTTTAATTCAAAATATTCTTCATACTAAGGAGTCATACTTTGGGGTGAAATTTCCAGAGGTCTTTCAGTAGGCCAAAAATGGTTACAGGATTTAAGATTGTGATGAAGATGGATGGTTTAAAAATGTTAAATAACTCTTTTGATATCCTGAGAAAGAGTACCCATGGAATTGGGGCATTCTATTGAACTCTATACTAAACCCTAATTTGTGTCTTCTATTGATAAAAACCAGAAAAGTTGACTTTAGATTTTGAGATATTCCATTTTGATTGTTTGGTCACTTCAAGATGAAAAATTTGGCTCCTTGTGAAAGGGGAAGTTGCAAGTTTATGACTTCAATGAAAGATTATACATTTTACTTTGTTTGTAAGTCCTATTCAATAGTTTCCATAGCACCAAATTACATAGGAATGTTAAGATATGTAGTGAGTATTAGTTGTTGCCTGTCTATCATCTATTCCCCATTCCCTGTTCCTGTCAGAACTATGTTTTGTTTAAGTGTCCACCTGAGACACATGTAGATCTTAGTGGTTTAAGAATAATCCCATCCTACTATCAAGTAATTAGTTCAGGGTCTAATCATAACCAATGAGATGCAAGAAGAGATTAGTTAGAGGGTTTTGGTTAAGTTCTTCTTCACTTTTAAGAGCGAGCCATGGAAAGTCACTCTCTCTCTTACTAGACGATGTGGTGACCATGTAAACAGGCTGCTCAGATCTCTTGCTGAGGTGAGCATAGTTGACTGAGAACCTCAGCTGCCACCTCTCTGGGCGAATCACTGCATTTGCAGTAAGGTTGATGACTGAGCACAGTGGAAGGATTGTCATAGATCCATTCCTGTGGGACATGAGTTTTCTCTAATAGGCAACACTGGCTTGAGGACTGTCCATCAACCTGACCAAAACTTGTATAGATCTGCACTGTAGGCTGAGATTCTTTCTACCTAGTCTCTTTCCTTATACTTTCCCCTTCATATATGCTATGATTTGAATGTGTCCTCTCCAAAATTCAGATGTTGAAACTCAATGGCCAATGTAATAGTATTGAAACCTTAAAATCTGTACCCCCATAATATGCCAAAATAAAAAAAAATGAAAAAATGAAAAAAAAAAAAAAGAGGTACTTAGGGGAGGTGATTAGGTCATAAAGGCAGAGCCCTCATGAATGGGATGCCATGTGAGGTCACAGCATTCCTTTCCTCTGGAGGTTGCAGCCCTGACAAGACAACCAAATATGGACAACCAAATACTACCCTGATCTTGGACTTCTTAGCCTCCAAAAATGTGAGGAGAAAGCATTGGGTTTTACAGAGGGTTTTTTAGGGGGAAGTGAGCAACACCTGCAGAGATAGGGGAGGGGCATAGTAGCTTGGTTCTTATCAGGGGGATAGGAATGCGGGCACAGCTGTCTGTTAGATTTATAATCCTAGACTCTCCAGACTCCTGCGGCTATTATTTCATAAGCCTAAAGCCTAAATTTTCCATTAACTGCATTCCATCCCATACATACTTTCGGGTTTCCACCCAGAACAAACCTAACAGTATTTAGCCAAAAAGGTATCTGAGAAGCCAAAATATATATCAGTAAAGCCCATCTACTGTACTTAGAGGAAAACTAAAGTAGGCATTCTAACATCACTTATTTTTTTTTTTTACTTTAGTTTCATGATTATATTTAGGTCATGTCTTTTTGGCAGGAATGTTATAAACAAGATGTGTCCTTTAATGTGCTCTATCTCCAGTGATATTAACTTTACTCTCTTGGTTGAGATGGTGTCTGCCAGTTTTCTCCACATAAAGTTATTATTTTTCCCTTTGTAATTAATGCATAATTTGTGAAGAAATGTTTTGAAGCTATGTAAATAGAGAATATTGTTCCTCATATATCACCCAATAATTTTAGTGCCTCTTAATTGATTCTTAGAATAAATTATTACTATGGTGGTAGCAAAGTGGTGATTTTCTAACTTAATTTTTTTTATCATCACTTTGTTTTTATACAAAAGGCATTCAAATATACTTGGCCGTATGATATTCCAGTTCATAGTAGATGATGAACAACAAATTAGAAAGGGGGGTGTTCAAAAAAAGAAGACACACTGAAGGCAGAAGTGACAGGCGATATTGGAAAAGAAGAGAGAACATTAGTGACAAAATCTAACAACTTACAAAGCAGAGCGATATATGTGTGCCTCGGAGATGAACACTTTAGGTCATAATTTGTTTCCCATCCTTAGCCACAGAAACCATAAAAAGTCCCCACTGCAGCTGCAAATGATTGCCATAGGAAATCACTCTTAAATGTTTACTTTAAATGTTTACCCTGCAGTTTCTATCGTTTTGATTTTATGCCCAGAATTTTTCTCTCTGTTTGGATTTGAAGGATTTACATGACATATCAATTTAACTTTTTTCCAATATTATATTTTTAAAATTTTTCCATGGGCTTCAGGCACTATATCCCTTGGGTAAGTAATGGCCACCTCTAAGCTTGGGATACTAGCCTCCAGTCTAAGCCTCTGTTCCTGCTTCTCTAGAAGTTAGGAGGGAACACTCTGGTCGTACTTGGTGAGAGATCATATAAATTTATACAGTTTAGTAACCTTTAAGATAACCTAGATGTCATTTATTACAGACCAGTATGGTAAGTAACAATTAATAATTAGTTATTAACAATCAATACATTAATTAATGTGATCACTAATGATAATGATTAGAGAATTGGTTAATATAAAAAGACTCTGAAGCATTGAGAAAATGTAAACTCATGGGCAACATCATTATTTAATAGGTAAGGAAAAGAGCAATGTGTACATATATTGACAAAAATAATTTTTTATATGCTTATACATTTAAAATATACTTTTTATCATTTTTAATGTCTGCATAGTATTATCAAGTAAATCAATAATTTAGCCAAGCATACATGATGTCTAATTTTTCATAATTGCAAGTAATGTTGGGAAGAACTACTTGCAAATAAGTATACTTGAAAATAAGATTATTTTCTTGAAACTCATAAAAGAGGACTGTTTGAATAAAAGGGAATGGAGAATTTTAAGAATTTTGTTTTGCATTGCCAAAGTATCCTCCAGAAAGATGCAATCATTTATAGTACCACCAGCTGTGTACCCTCAGCAAACTGAGTGTTAACATGACTTCGTATTTGGAATTTCATAATCAAGACATATTTTATTTCAATCACCAGGACATTGTTTTCAAATGTTTATTGGTATTTGAATATCTCCTTTTTTATCTTCTCATTTAAGTCTTTTCTCCAATTTTAATTCTTGTGTTCCTTTTTACTTACTGAATTCTAATGGGTACAATGAACACTATCTGGGTGATGGGCGCACTTATAACCTTGACTCAAGCATAACAAAATCAATGTATGTAACCAAAACCATTTGTATCCCCGTAATACTTTGAAATAAAAAAATAAAATAAAAAAGAGAGTCTCATATATTAAGGAGATTAATACATCTTTGGATTTGTGTCCATATTCTTTTATATAGATTAGTAGAATATTAAATGTTTCTTCCTGAACATTTCAACATTAAATTGTTCAATAGTAAGGATTTCACGTTTTGTTGTTCCTGTTTAGGATATTTCCTTATATTCAGTGTGTGTGTGTGTGTGTGTGTGTGTGTGTGTGTAATTACTCTCACCAGTCACTTCCTAAGCTCCCATATTTTTAATAGTTTCATCCAATTGATTCTCTGAATTTTCCAGGTAGAAAATTGTATTATCTATGAGTAATAATAAACTTGCATCTTTCTTTAAAATATATTTTCCCTTTTCTCCTTATTTAATTGACTAACACTCTTAGAACAATATTAATTCTTAGTAGTAATAGTGACCATCCTCTTCTTATTTTAAATAGATTGAAATTTAACATTAAGTTTTAATATTTGACCTTTTAGTTTAAATTTTAAGTTTTTTCATCAACTGTTTTATTTATTTCAAAAATTTATGGGGTACAAGGGTTTTTGTTACATGGATGAATTGTATCATGCTTAGATCAGGGCTTTCAGTATACTCATCACCAGAATAGTGTACATTGTACCTGAAAGATTTTTATCCCTTGCCTCTATCTCTCCTGCCCCCTTCTTAATTTTCAATGTCCATTATACCACTTTATGATGATATATATCTCTCTTTTAACTGCAACTTGTAAGCGAGAACCTGTGGCTTTTGTTTTTGCATTCCTGAGATACTTCACTTAGGATAATGGTCTCTAGTTCTTCCAAAAGACATTGTTATTCCTTTTTATTGCTGAGTAGTGTTCCATGGTGTATATATACCACATTTTCTTTGTCAACTCATCAGTTGATGGGCACTTAGGTTGGTTCCATATCCTTGTAATTGTGAATTGTGCTGTGATGAACATTTGGGTGCAGGTATCTTTCTTATAAGACTTGTTTTTCTGTGGGTAGATACCCAGTAGTGGAATTGCTGGATTGAATGGATTGAATTGTTCCTTGAACAATCTCCATGCTATTTTCCATAGCCATTGTACTAGTTTACACTTCCATCAACAGTGTATAAGCATTCCCTTTTCACTGCATCCATGCTCACATTTATCATTTTTTGACTTTTTAGTAATGGCCATTCTGACAGGGGTAAGGTCGTATCTCATTGTGGCTTTAATTTGCATTTTCCTGATAGCTAGTGAGGTTGGGCATTTTTTCCTGTGTTTATTGGCCATTTGTCTATCTTCTTTTGGGAAAAATCTGTTCATGTCTATTGCCCACTTTTTGATGGGGTTATTTTGTTTCTCACTGATTTGTTTGAGTTCTTTATAGATTGTGGATATTAGCCCTTTCTTGGTTATATAGTTTGTGAATCTTTTCTCCTGTTCTGTAGGTTGTCTATTTACTCTGTTGGTTATTTCTTTTGCTATACAGTAACTTCTTAGCTTAATTAAGTCCCATTTATTTATTTTTGTTGTGGCTATATTTGCTTTTGGCATCTTAGTCATAAATTCTTGGCCTAGGCCAATGTGTAGAAGAGTTTTTCCTATATTTTCTGCTATAATTGTTATGGTTTCAGCTCTTACATTTAAGTCTTTAATTCATCTTGAGTTAATTTTTGTATATGGTGAGTAATAAGGATCCAGTTCCATTCTTTTGCATGTGATTATCCAGTTCTCCCAGCACTGCTTATTGAATAAGGCATCATTTCCCCAGTATATGTTTTTATCTGCTTTATAAAAAATCAGTTGGTATTAACTATATGGTTTTATCTGGGCCCTCTATTCTGTTCCGTTGATCTATGTGTTTAACTTTATACCAATATCATGCTGTTTTGTCACTAGAGCCTTGTAGTATAATTTGAAAACAGGTAATGAGATGCTTCTAGATTTGTTTTGTTTGTTTGATTTTGCTTTGGTTAGTATTGCTTTGGTTATTCGTGTTCTTTTATGGTTCCACATGAAGTTTAGGATCATATTTCTAGATCTGTGAAAAATGACCTTGGTATTTCGATGGGAATTACATTGAATATGTAAATCACCTTGGTCAGTATGGATATTTTAACAATATTGCTTCTTCCAATCCATAAGCATGGTATGTTTTTTCATTTGTTTGTGTCATATATGATTTCTTTCATTAGTATTTTGTAGTTATCCTTGTAGAGATCTTTCACCTCCTTGGTTAAGTATATCCCTAGGTATTTTATTTTCTTTGAAGCTAATATAAATGATATTGGGTTTTTAATTTGATTCTCAGGTTGGCCGTTAGTGTATAAAAGTGTTTCTCATTTGTGTACATTAATTTTGTAACTTGAGACTTTACTGAATTCATTTATGAATTCTAGGAGTCTTTTGGAGGAGTCTTTAGTATTTTCTAGTTACAAGATCATATTTTCAGCAAAAAGAGATAGTTTGACCTCCTTTTTTCCAACTTGGATGCACTTTATATTTTTCTCTTTCCTGATTGCTCTGGCTAGGATTTCCAGTACTATGTTGAATAGAAGTGGTCACAGTTGGCACCCTTGTCTTTTTCTGGTTCTTAGGGGGAATGCTTTCAACTTTTCCCCATCATTATGTTGTTGGCTGTGGGTTTTTCATGAATGAGTTTTATTATTTTGAGGTAATTCCTTCTATGCCTCATTTGTTGAGAGTTTTTATCATGAAAGGGTGCCAGATTTTATCAAATGTTTTTTCTCACCTATTGAGATGTTCATGTGGTTTTATGTGTTTGCAAAATCACATAAATCACATTTATTGACTTGCATATATTGAATCTTTCTTGCATCCCTGGAATAAAACTCACTTGATCATG